AATATTATTATATTATATTATTATATATATATATATATATATATATATTATTTATTTATAAATATTTTAGAAAAAGGCTCAGCGACGTCGCCGAGGCGCTTATATATATATATATATATATATATATATATATATATATATATATATATATATATATATATCGCCTGCGAGTTAAATATAATATATATACCGAATGGTATACCGCTCGGTATACCATTCCGTACCATACCGAGCGAACGTCGAAACGTCAGTACAGTACGGTATTTCGAACCTTGCTCAAAAGTCACATTGCAAGATACCCCCTAACATTTTTCATATTAATATATGTTAACTAGAAAGAGGTAACATGCACCTGAACTTTGCTGCAGTGTTTATGCAATATACTATAAAACTGCTCAGCTACCTGCAGAACACTAAAGAAAGATGTGGAAGGAGGTTCAAAAACATTAAAACTGACAAGTGTAAAGTTTTATGATAACAGAATCAATGTGAAGAAATGCATATACCTCTTCATAAGCCTCAAAGTCATAAGGCAAGATAACAAGATGAGGGCAGCAAGCCTTGGCATCTCTGACAAACGTCCCAGCCTTCACTCCTGAAATCCAAAACATAAATTGTGCTTTACAACAAAGAGTATGCCACACTAAGATGTATCTCTTATAAAACTTCACCATAATTTCTTGCCACATAATTTGCAGAGGATATTTCAGCTGTTCCTCTAGGATTGTTCGAGTGGCACACTGCTACAGGCTTATCTACCAAGTCTGGGAAGTTTCTTATGATCACTGATACAAAAAAGCAGTCCTGAAAAGGAAAAATAAAATATTTTAGTACACAAGTAAACATGCAGGCAGAAACAGCAAGTATGATTCAGCAAGAGCTCCATTAATATGGACAAAAACATTTGAAGCAAAGACCACAGACAAACATTATCATCATTATTATGTCAAAAAAAAATCTTAGTAGGTGAAGATGAAAATTACCATATCTACATGTATAATTGAAGCTTTCTGCTTGGCCACACAACAATTGGTTTTCTCATTGCTGCTCTTATATCCAGTGAGCAAGTTAGAGAAACGCTTTCGATATCGATTTCTCCAGGTTCCAATGAAATGCAGCCTAGAGCTCTGAAGTACCAAATGGTTAGATCTGAACTGAGTAACAAAATTCTTATCCAGTGAGTGAGTGAAAGGAAGAAAGAGGCAATAAAACTAACAGGATTCTTGTCCAAATTAAAAAAGAGAGAGTCAGGGAGAATATCAATATATCAATCATATATATCTTACACACACTAGATGTATAATTTAAGAAAATGACAGTTTAACAGATACTAGTTCGTTTGAGATGATATAACAAGAAAAAAAAAATGACTTCTGGAACACTAGCATGAAAATATTACCCAAATATCTGGTGTGCAAAGAACAAGTATACAGCATTCAAATAATTATAAAAAATACCTACTAAAGAAGCCTTGATGCATCAAAATAGCCAACTGTATGGATCAAGGAGTGATCTATAAGCTCTCAGATTAAGCTAACAAATTAAGTTATAGAATCCCAAATTCATGCTTACATTAAGATTTTTATAAGAAAAACTTGCACGTAGAGTGCACCATTATTGATGAATTGACTAAAGAAACTCAGTACATGACAAGAGAAGCTTAATAAGCAGGAGTAATAGTAATATTAAAAGAAAAACTCCATTTCACCTATAAGACAAGAACCAAAACAATATATATTTACTTAACAATGACGAGAAAGATTCACATATCCCGTAATCAACTATGCTCTCAAGAGCTATCTAACCATTTTCTCCTTATTTAGGATGAATCTGCCATTAAATATCACTCAAGTACCATCTAAATGGGCATAATATCTGCTAGAGCTTTGGGACTTCCAATAATATTCTTCAGTTCTCAATTATGAAGAAACATGATTAAATTGAAAAAAAAAAACTAATGGTCTATTAAACATCATCAAACTTTGAAACTAAAACAGGAAGAACACAATGAAAATATCAACATGTTCAAAGATATGATGTGACACTTATACAGCACATGTAGCAAAGCTATATAGAAAAGAAAGGTTATAGAGCTTTGAAGAGACAAATAAATGAAAATTACAAGCAAACAGTCTTGTTTTATTACCTTGAAGTAGTTCTCCACGAAGTTTGGATCTGTAAGTGTTGAGTGTACCTGATTGGAAGCTCCTATGCAATTTACACTTGAATCCAAAGATTCATGTATTTTTTGATGGCCCATGTAACTCTTATTAATCATACTTAAAGGAGAAGGAATGGCACCAGATGCAGGTGGAACACTAAACTTGACCTCCAGATCAGTTGATTCTGGGTTTGCATTTATCTCTCCATACAATTTTTCAACTTTCATGCATTCCAACTCTTCAGTGGCTTGGCCACTGGGCCCATCGCATCTAAAACATTGGCCCTCTGGAGGTAATACTAATTGCTTAGGATCCACATCAATTTTCACATCCTGATTAACAGTAGTTCTAGCATCATTACAACTTGAGATGCCCTGGTGATGAAAGTAAGTTGAAAGTTTCTGTTGTTTGCAGGTTCCATTCACAAGCCCTCCAAGTTGATAAGGAGCACCTTAAGAAAAAATGAAAAGGCACAAAAAGTCGGAATCAATAACTTGTCAATTAAAACAATAAGCACCTTGTCATTTTAGTATATAATAATGGAATGCATCTTTTATTAGTGTCCTATTTTCTCTTCCTTCTAATTAGATAGAAGTAGATATTTTGATAACTACTTCCATAGCCTACTGTGCAGCTAAACCAATAGATAAATTCAGGAGTCCTGCAGTCTATTAAGCAAATAAACCAATATAGAAATTTTCTAATTTTGCACCAATAATGAATCAATCTTACTAATATTGATTGTTGAAAGGACGATCAATACATAATAATAACTTGAATTTAATGATTCAAGTATTCAATATACCCAATCAAGTCATGCTTAAAGTTGGCAAACAAACCAAGGTATGCAAGTGAGTAAACCACAAAAGAAGACCTTTACAACACCTATAGTGATGGAAAACTATGCTTGAGATATATTATAAGACTATATACAGCTAAAAAATAAGAAAAATGACAGAAAATCTCTAAAGAACAATGTATGTAAATTTAGGCCTTTGCACCTACAGCAACAGTTTTCCATTGCTGTTCTCTAACAATGTACCATAGGCCTCCCCCACATAATCAGTTGAAAATAACTGCAGACTGAAAGACAATAAAATCAGAATGCATGGGGAGAAAACTCACAACTCAAGAGCCCATTAGCTGCCAGACAATCCAGCACCCACTGAGGTCTCACAACAGGCAGTCCATGGCTGAATGCCCTAAGCCAGAACAACCCAAACACGATACTCAGGGGGGAGCAAATTAAAAAAGATGGTGCAAAATTGACTAGAAAGACTTGTTCACACCGAAGGTTTCTCATTTTACTATCAGGTAGATTGCCACAAATGATATGAGTCACAGTATGCTTCGAGAAGTAATTCTCAAACCGCCCACCATGCTTCAGCATATACCCCCTCAGTTCCTGATAAGCAATTTCACCAACTCATCACAACAAATCACCAAACAGTACACCTTACAACATTAACATCAGTTGAGAAATGGGGATAAGTTTTAGTCATTTCCAAACCATCTTACAGCGAAAGCTAAAGCCTGCGACAGGATTTACAATTTTTCGCATACCCTTTCACGTGTGTCCCAATAAATTTGGAAGGTAAAAGACTGAATAGCTGGTGATTTGAACATAAAACCTTCCGTTTTGATAAATGCTAACACTTAAATTCAATTCTTAATATAATGATAGCCCACTTTAAACATTTTTATTGGAGAAAAAGAAGAACCTGACTGGACGGAATGGTAAATCCATCAACGAAAATGGAAACCCCATGGAATATTCCCTTATCATCGCCGGAGTCAGCACGGCCGCTGCCAGCGCCGAGGGACGAAGTGGTTGCGTCTGCTTGGAACTGGGCCCGCAGCTTCCGGTTCTTCTCCACCATGTAACTACAAGAAGGGTTAAGCCCAAGAAAGAACGAGAAAAAGAAGACGAGGAATAAAGTATAGAATACCTTCGAAAGTCGGCGAAAGGGGCCTTGGTCTTCGAGCGGAGAGGCCTTTGTGGGTTTGTGGTGGGAGGGTTTCTGCTCCTCTTGCGGGAGTCACCAGAGGGAGCGGAGGAGGAGGGGAAGGCGGCGGCGTTGGAGGCGGCGCGCGATGAGGATCTCGAATTCATGGCGTAGAAGGGACGGCGGAGGAGACGGCCGATCGCCGGAGTTTTCTCGTCGTGGTACCGGGTTGCTTCGACAGGAAGCTTCTGATTCGGAGCGGCGAGGGGCGGTTTGGTATTTTAACCGCCATTTCATCGCCTTACTTCCGGCCCTCAGCGGCCCAATTAAAGGCCCATCCGAGCCCATTATAGGATTCATGGACTGAGCCATTAGTGCACGCGTGCGATGGTCGCACCTGACGGTGGCAGAACGGATATTCCAACGATCACTAGGAATTATAGTTGGAGCGGCAAATGCATTTGACCTCTAATTGTACATCATATTCTCCATAGAATACTATCTTTTCCTTCTTCCAGTTCGGTTTATGAAAGAAGAACCGATTACATCTATCGTTAGTATGAGTATGATAGCGCATGCTCTGAATTAGAAGCCTATCACTCTTCCTCTTCCTCGGACCAAAACAAAAGAACATCAAAAGTTCATAGTGATGATTAGGTTAACTACTAAGCAAAGCACGCAGAGTTTTCGCTCTTACTTCTTTCAAACAAAGATCAAGATCTCATCAATTGCATCATAAACTACAAAAAATGACTCCAGTAAGAGTCTTTGTAGATTACGCACACAGATTTAAACTGTTGGCGATCTTTACTCTCTTCGAATGAGTGACATGAATCCCATCAGTGTTCGGAATCTCATCCGGAGTAGTGATGGTCGGATGAGATGCATCTGCGCCAGTACGTTTCTCCAAAGATATGTGCATCACCTTCAGATTCTCCACCCTCAAATTCTTGCAAGAGTTAAAGCTCAGGGCCTTCCTCAAGAACATAATTCATCAGACTTAATATAGGGTTCATGCATGAGCATCTCTCTATTCAGTTCCTACTAACACAGGAGAAGATGAAAGAAGAAAGAAAGAAATCGCACGTACCGTCGGCGCACTGATGCATGGCTGACATGAAAACACGAAAAAGATCAGCGTTTCAGGGAAGAAGGTTGAAGTCTGATTTGTGTGCTCACCATAGATGCATCCACCTTGCAGAAGCCTCTCCACCATATCTTCCCATTGCCATTGATGGTTCCACCACCTCGAACAGTGACGTTTTCGATATTACTGAGGAGTATCCAATGCCTGGAGTTCCTGCCACCCCAATCCTTTTGGTTCCTCGACGCTTCAAGTGTCCTTGCAGTACTGTGTGTTAGGGTTTCAACTATGATGGATAACGCACTAGAATTCACAGTGAATGAAACTTGAGATATGCTTAAAAAGGTCACAGGCTTGAGGAGATAACGTTTGTTCTTGGGTACCAACAGAATGGATCGAGTGGATGATGAGCAAGCTTTCTTCCACGCCTTTTCAAATGCCTGCAAAGCTTAACAATGACAATGCTTATAACTAAATGCACTACAAGAACTAATTTGAGATGGTGATGAAAGTCGAGTAAACACCATGAAATCAGAAGCTACATCTCCCTTGGCACCGTAGTCTTGAACATTCACCACCTTCTGTGTTGAATCAGAGGAGCATTTCATGATGGTGGTGTTGAGTCTCTCTCCTTCAAGGGAAGCCATGGTGGAGTTCTCTTCCAAATGGGTGCTGAAACGATGCAACTTAATTGACAAAAAGCATGATAACCAAAAGGAAGAAAAATGTCTGTGGCGCATATTCAGTAACGTGGATGAGAGGAGAGACAAAAACCTAAAATGTTACTACAAAGATATGTCTGGACGTGGGAATTGAATATGTAGGGAAAAAACCTGGGCTGCTTCATGGTAGGGGTGAAAAAAAAAAGGGAATAACACCAAAACCAACTAATAAAATCGAAGATCAAAATCAACTAAAATAATAACACCAAAATATAACATGATAATCTTGCTTGTGCAAAAGGTGACTGTTTATTTTTTAATCTTCAATATAAAATAATAAAAAATAAGAGATTATAATTTGACACACAGGTCGAAATCACGTCGGACTAATTCAAATGTCAACATAGTTCAAACCCTTAGTAAAGTGGGAGGTTCAAGTCCTTCTAATAATGCCAAAATATTGAGGAATAGTCAGTGACATCTCAATCAATCTGCTCGATGTGATTCAGATCTATGTGCATAAGTTGAACGAGATATAGTTGAGGTATTCTTGAGGTAGCAACATCAACATTCTCCGAGAGATCTACACAAGGATCAAGATCGAGAGAGGGTCTCGTAACTTGATCCGTTTGACGATCGAGTTTGCTCGAGGTAGAAAACTAGAATAGTGAAGATAGTGAAATAATAAAATTATGATCTCGATTACTATGTTATAAATGACTTTTTTATATTTAGTAAAAGAAAAAAGAATATTTTATGAAACATTCTCAAAAGTGAGAGTCGGAAACTATCCCCTTTGATCTCTTATCAACAAAGGCTTAAGGGGGACAATTTATAACCACTCTTTTGAACTTATGATTATATGGGTGAATAAATAAGGAGGTCTTATTCTAGAAGTTGATTGGGCTACCATTTATTATTATGTGTCTGATGACAATTGATCCCAATATTCCTCAATCAACTAATGTTTAATTAGTTATAATTTTATAATGCATATATATATATATATATATATATAGAGAGAGAGAGAGAGAGAGAGAGAGAGAGAGAGAGA